CAAATAAATATAAATTATATTCAAGAATAAAAGCTCAGACTAGAAGTTTAAACTAAAAGCTCAAACTAATTATCTGCAACCTAAACCTACTAGAGTGGTCAAAACTCACTTAGGTTTTAATTGTTAGAATATGGTTAATAGAAATGCTATATTTGATCCACATAGTAGACCAAATATAAAAATATTAATTTTATAGATGCTTTTAAACAAAGAAAGAATATTAATTAGAATAATACTTACAGATGAACAATGCTCAAATTTACCATACACAGGATTCATACATCTCCTGGTTTGTATATGTTGGTCTCATGGAACTTCACTAGGATATACCGACTCAGCTAACACTACAAATGTCCTTGTTCCACTTTTATCTTTACGGCGTTTAGCATCATGTGTTTCTTTGTTATCACTTGATGCATATAATTTATGTTTAGAACCCCTTTTTGCTTTGGCCTTTCTTGTAATACATCAGTACTATAATAGTTATTTCGCCAATTGTAAATTATTCTCTCAGTCATCACTTCACCATCTAGTATTAGTCTCTCGTTCATTATACTCACTATCATTTTTCCAACTAGGCTTATTTCTAAAGTTATTCCCTCGATTATTTTGCCAGTAGCATCTCAACTACTATTTCATCGATCACCTCTCTGATTATTAAAGGCTATTTCATGGAAGTTGTCAAACTTCTATTTTTGGTAATGATGATGAGTGTATCTAAATAGGATTAATAATACAATTAATGACGTAAACCCAAATATTTACAGTCACATGATTTGTCATATCTAAAATTTTATCATATGATTTTCACAAATTACACAAAACGACGATTTTACATTTTTAAGATTTTTACCAAAACTCTTATCTAAATATGCCTATTCCTTAAAACAAAGTTGTTGCTGAAGCTTCTACAAACCCAAAGGTATGAAAAATATAAGAAATAACCTTCTTTCTACAAAAATATATACTTTTGAAGATGGGCAATTGTTTTACCTATATTCATATGATTCTTTTCAAGCATACAGACCTCCGACTTAAAAAGTAATCTATTAGGTGTAAAAAAATGAGAGCTTTCGCCAAAATGCATCTTTGAAGGGCTGGTACATTA